CCTGGGGCACGAGTCACTTCTCCATCACAGCTTACCCGGGGAGCCAAAGGCATTTTTCATCTTTAAGGAGGTTGCTATTACAGATCAATGTTTTAGAAAGATTAGCCAAGCCAACTCCATTAATCCATTCCTCCCTGCTCCTTGTAATTAACTTGTCTTTCGCTGACAGCGTGGCTCCTGTCAGAGATCTTAAGTGTCTGGGAAAGGAGTCAAATCGGCATGACGCTGCCGCGCTGCCCCTTGCAGATGCCCCCTCTGCTTGCAGAAGGTGTGCCTTGGGATTCAAGCAACAATTAGAAGAACTTGGAGCTGAGATGATACCCCAAACTTTTCAACTTTCCTGTTGTCTGCACAGGCAGCTATTTTCACACAGAGTCCAAGAGAAAAAAAAAAAAAAAGAAAATCACTACAACAACCCAAATCCTGTCGGAGGCATCGGCTTTGCATGAGCATGCCAGGGAGCGGGGGAGAGCTGAGTAGTGCCGAGGCTGGTGCTTGCTGCTTGGCCCCCTGCCTCGGGAGCCTGGGCAGGGACCAAGGAGTCTGCAGGAGCAGGCAGCTATTTTCACACAGAGTCCAAGAGAAAAAAAAAAAAAAAGAAAATCACTACAACAACCCAAATCCTGTCGGAGGCATCGGCTTTGCATGAGCATGCCAGGGAGCGGGGGAGAGCTGAGTAGTGCCGAGGCTGGTGCTTGCTGCTTGGCCCCCTGCCTCGGGAGCCTGGGCAGGGACCAAGGAGTCTGCAGGAGCCGGTCCCGGGAGAGCTGCGGGGACAGGGCGAGCCAACAGAGCGCATTGCTGTCATTCCTGCGTGCTCCGTGGACTCGCACAACCAATGCCTTTGGCCCATGGATGTTAAGACCCTGCTGCTTAACTGTAAATGTTTCTCCCAAGTGTAGCTCTGCCCCCGTGGCACTGCCTAAATACAGCCTGCGTGCCAGCCGGCGTTAGCCACCATGCTTGTAACACCCTGTTCCTCCCTGCATCTGTCTCGCTTTGCGAGAACCGGGTGCTTCCCCAAGTAAGGCTAAAGCCGCCCCAGGGCCCCATCTCCCTTACCTTGGAGAGGATGCAGAGGAGGGAGAGGAAGAGGAGCTGCTTCTCCAGCTGGAGCCTCATGCTGCTCTCCCCTCCGCCACTTCAGCACATCGCCCCCCAGGCGCTTTGGAGTCAGCAGCGTGTTCGCAGGTTTTAAAGCCCCACGTAGGTCCTGCTGGTGTTTATACTCTCCCTGCTCTGATGTCACTCACAGGCTCCAATATAAACATGAGTAGTTTTGGACAAGCCTCAAGATTTTCTTTTTTTTTTTTCATTCTTTCTTTTTCCAGCCCACATTCCAGCTGCCATTTCCACTCCCCTCAAGGTGAGAACGTGCTGTCCACCGAGACAGGGAGTGAGGAGACGGGACGCTCTCCCCCCGGGGAGCACGGCAGAGGTGCTGGGGAGCCAGGCTGGTGGGCTGAACCGG